GCTACTTTGCAAAACAAACAAAAAATCAACAACAAAAATTATTAAAAAAAGTTTAAAAAAAACATCCTAATGTCATTGGTTATTAAATTTCAATCTGACTTTACCCGACAATTCGTAGTTGTATGGGTAAGTATTCACACAAAAATATGCATGTAAAAAGATTATCTCTTCATTCTCCTGAATACCTCAATATTGCATTTTAATCGATTAAGACTTCATCCGAGCTTTTAATCCTAACATAAATCCTTTTCATAGTGTAAAAATAATAATCATCGGACCAAATTGTTTTTAATACAAATTTTGTCTAATTTTTAATCATTAAAATAAAAAGTTTTTATTCATAAATGAAATTTACAACCAAATAATGGTTTAATTTGATTAAAACAAATTGAATTTATGAAGTAATAACCATTTTGTATATTTTTAAAATAATTTATATATAAAAACCGACCCATTTATTCGTTCCTATAAAATAATGCGCTTTTTGGAAGATCTAGCTTTACCTGCAGCTCGGGTGGCGAAGTCTCTTCAAAACCCATAGGCCGCCTCGTCTGGCTAGATCTATTCCTAATGAACAGAAGAAAAAAGAGAAACATTCGAAGTGTTAATATTTAAATTGACTCGGTAACATTTCCTTAGATTCTGAAACAAAAAAAATAAGGCTTTCACATTAATACTCGGGGGCTCGTACAGCGAGTAAAAAACAAACATTGGGGAATTTTCGGCCGGTGTCCGGCGGACTCCCGTACAGTTCCTACATGTGCCGGGACATTTTTTAAAGCCGTACGGGCGCCGTGGTGTTGAGTTGGCTGCTCCCTATTCCCCCGGCGTTATTATCTGACCGTTATGTCGGGTCCCTCACGATTTTCCTGTTAATTCTCAATGTACAACGTAGCTTTGAATACAGAGACACGGATGTCAGAAGACATGAAGTTCATTGCGCCGCACGGCAGCCCGTGGGGCAACGTACGGGTGACTTGACGACCCCCATGGGCCCGGGGAGCCATGGGGGTGCGCCTGTTCATCGGACGGAGCCCGTACGCTTACCGGTCGGAACCCGACCTGCACCCGACCTGCACCCGACCGGCACCCTTACGGACGCATTGCATTTTACACCTCCCGGGCGCCGCAGTATGTGACCACAACTGCCGTAGAAATGAAAATCGGAAGGGTTCCGTACGGTCTCTAAAATCCACGACAAGCCGACGGGTAAGGAAAATCGTACGAGGTCCGGTGCATAATGTGACCTATTAAGAGAGCAGTGTCGTAGTATAGAGTGGTTTAAGAACTTGAGTTGAAAATCAAGGGTCGGGGTTCGATTCCCGACACGGCACGAGTGTCCTTTGACAGGCATTAATCTTCATTTGCCACACTCGACCCGGGTGAGGTAAATGGATACCTGGCAGGAGTTAATTCCTTGAAATGCCGGAGCGCTGTAATGGCAGCTATAGGCTACAGCCGGGGTAATAATTAGTGCGTCTCGGAATAGAATTTCTAGATAAAAGGTGCTATAAAAATGCCCTCTTATTATTATGAAAGTAAACCATTTTTGCATTACATTGACACCCTTCATCTTTTGATGAACATTTTTTTTGGGGGGGGGGGGGTAGAACGAGATAGAACTTACATTTATGTACGTTGTTTTAAAAAAATTCCAATTACAGCTTTCCCTCTCTCTATGGCTTGTGTGTCCCCGTGGATGGCCATCCTGACAGACTGTGTACTAGTGCAGATGACAATGTTACTCTCTTCAATCTCTATTGAAATGAGTGTACATTACTCAGGTTTGTGAGCCTAGCTAAATTTTCCTTCCGGGCCCTTAATATTAAAAAGTGGGGGGAACAGACTTACAGATGGTTTTGATATGAGTTATAAGCTCAAGTTTAGCGGTGAATATTTTGATCTGACTGCTAAGAAAGCATTAATGTTGTTTCCCAAATGCTGTTTCCCCATAATTATGTGTAAATTTCATCTTGATTCACTTTTATTATTGCTATTTATTGTAGGGTTATTAACAACAACAGCTTAACGATTTAACAATAAATTCTACCTTTAAGTGAGTGCAGAGTGTGGAAAAGGAAATTAAGGGAAATCCAGCTCTGGTAAGGCCAGATCTATATCAAATAAACTAAAGAAAAAGACATTAGAGACGCGGAATGCTGCCGCCTTTCTACTTTAAATAATGTTTATATTTGTGTCTGTCATTACAATATCTACTTGTTAGGTAATACAAATTTAATTTATTTAATCATTTTTTTAGTTATTTATCTGTTAATCTATCATCTTTTCATTTAATTTATGGTTGATCAAATATTTATTTAGTTATCTTTCTACAAATTCATTAATAAGTTCATCAGTTTATCTACTCATTCAATGATATCTTTATACTTACTGACTTATTTCATGTATATTTTTATTTTAACAGTATACGCCTCTGCCGTGCTTCAAAATGAGTAGGCCTATTGAACTATTCGGCCTTATTTATTTTGTCTTACTGCTTATTGTCATGCACATCACCACACATGGAACTCTTGCATTCTCAGATTAAAAGTGTGCTCCGCAAGTGGAATTTAAAATCCCCACTGCACTACGTATAGCTATACTTGCGCGTTATAGCAAACAATGACTTGTCGGTGCCTGTTTGTCCCCCATGATCCCCTTTTTCTTACGTTAATTGAGAGCTGTAATTGTACTTTTTGGAAGATTTAGCCGGACCTGTAGCTCGGGTGGCGAAGTCTCTTCAAAACCCAAAGGCCGCCGTGTCTGGCTAGATCCATTTCAAATGAACAGAAATATCACAGAAACCATCAAGGTAATATAAATTTCTAGTTCGTTAATCAGATCATTCATTCAATTATTAAAGTGACTCGGTAACATTGCCTCAGATTCTGAAGCAAAATCCTGATTTAGCTCATGCTGCATTCTTAATTATAAACTTTTAAGGTCAGTCAGGAAGCCCATGATTATGATTTATTGGAAATCGAATTTTCTGTTGTCGTTTTCCTAACGGTTTTTATAATACTACAGCCACGTTGCCAGATCTGACATAATTATTTTTTTCTGCCATAATTTTGATGCTTTTAGCATCTGGCATTAAGCCTGCCATAATTTAGCTGTTTTGAACAAAATTCTGGCATAAACCATGATTTGAGGTTTTTTAGCATAATTTGAATACATCTTTCAAGTACATGTAGTTATGTTGGTAAATCATTCCACCTTTCTGTATCGTTTTTCTAAGCTGCCGCTAAATATTTCCTTAAAAATTGCTTCTTACCCCCCCCCCCCCCCCCCCCCCCCCCGCTTATTCAGTGGCTGGCTGAGTGTCAGACACGTTGCCCCGGGATGCGAGATAGGACTCTTGTAGCGTGCCCCCACTTAAGACAATAATTATAAATAATAATTAACATTACATTTAATTAAAAGAATGAAGCGATTGATATTACTCTCATGTTACGGGGAAAAAATATTATATTTATTTTAAATCAATTGATTTGGTAGCCTTTTGACAAGGCCTCGTGACTCTGGCTACACTATATAAATATAAATATACATGAAATAAGTCAGTAAGTATAAAGATATAATTGAATAAGTAGATAAACTGATGAACTAAATAATGAATTTGTAGAAAGATAACTAAATAACTATAGTATATGCCTCTCACTATGAACATGACGAACAAAGAAAGCGGACAAAATATACAGTTCATCAGGTAGATAAAGGAACATCCCTTCACTGCTATTATGTAAAAAGGTGAATATGCATGCGACACCAGTCCTGTTCTACACATTTTTTTTACATAATATCAGTGAAGGGATGTTCCTTTGTCTACCTGAGGAACTTTATATTTTGTCCGCTTTCTTTGTCAGTCATCATGCTCTAAACTGGGTAGGCCTATATTATTCGGCCTTATATTTTTTTCTTCTTCTAACTGCTTATTGACATGCACATCACCATACAATGGAAATCTTGTATTTTGAAATTAAAGGCCGTCTGAACTAGTTTGGCCAGGAGGGATTATACCACCCAGGGTGGTCACTGACAGGTGGCTATCTCATCAACTCATCAGCTCTCAATTAACATAAGAAAAAGAGGATCATGGGGGACCAATAGTCACCGATTAGGCATTGTTTTCTATATAGAGGGCGCACGTATAGCTATAAAGTAGTACAGTGTGGCTTTAAAACTGGGCTCTGCATGTGGAATTATAAACCGTTCAGGTGTCATTACGCAACCTCCAGCTTTGTGAATGTTCAGTTTTTTCCCCATTGAGCTAAAGTCATTAACATCACCCCAAGACTCTCCGAGAGACTAGGGGGTATTTTGATTGGTCTACCGGTTTGATGAGTAATTTTTTTTAAAAATAAGTGCTCACTCCCCCCCCCCCCAAGCAAAAAAGAAGTAGTTCAAAGTTGACAGCCCCAGACAGATATACATGTAGGCCTACAGTCAAACCTGCGGTCTATAAAGACCACCTGTCTACAAAGACCATTTATTTCGTTTCCCTTGGAAATAATAATAGTTTCTCATTGAAACATGTACCGTACTAGGCACCTGTCTACAAAGACCACCTGCCTATAAAACCCACCTTTCTTGTCTAGAAAGGTTTCACTGTAGGCCTTTCTCTCTCTTTTAAAACCCCACTGTCCTACTTGTAGCTACTTGCTCCCTCTATATAGAAAACTTCCCCAATCGGTGCCTGCATGTTGGTCCCCCATGATCCTCTATTTCTTATGTTAGTTGAGAGCTGAGATAAGATAGCCACCTGTCAGTGACCTCGCTGTGTGGTCTAATCCCTCCTAGCCACACTAGTGTTGATAAGCTTTAATACAAACTACACAATAATTTTATCGTGAATGCAACGGAGGGGGGGGGGGGGGGGGGGGAATTGCTCAAAATCACGTGACCAGTCAGTCAGTACCTCGATAGTGTCACATGACCTAGAGAATGGTCATGTGACTGAAAGAAAGATATCGCCGATGAGTCTAGCTAGTCAGACACTACTAGTCAGACACTACTGTGTAATACGAACTGGACATTGATTTTGGTCGTAATTCATGACAACGGATAAATAACAAGTGGTATGATCCTGCTATTTTTGATACAATTTACTGTAATTGTGCACGTAATATGCGAGTAAGCCAGTCCTGAAGCCAGTGCCAGTGGCAGTGGCTGCGCCGTGCGGTACGGTTCCCCTTAATAAAATGAACGGCCCCGCCCATATCGGCACCCGACAGCGGCGCGGTGCGCAGCGGCCGCTGGCTTGCTTTATCCCGGCCCTCCACCGATGATGGAGTGCATGGGGTAACCGTCGATATCAGAGACTGATATTTTCAGTCTGATGGTCGTTGTGTTCAGGTTTCTATTGTACGCATGTCAATGACAAATGCTAATGAAGGGAAATCGAACTGTAGAAGTGTTTGCTAAACAGTTTTTTTCTTTTTTACTCTTTTCTTGATGCAGCTCTTTGATTGACAGATTACCATGGAGTGGGGGAAAGCATTGGAGTTTATCGCTTGTTTCATGGTTCTGCTGGCTGGGGCACTGGGGAGTGAAGAATCTAAAGATCATGGCCAGCCACCACACATTATCTTCATTGTAGCTGATGATTTGGTAAGAGCAATTTCAGCATTTCTTTTCATTCTTCCACCCCTCCACCATCAGTTCATCCTTCCATCCATCCACGCACCCATCTCTTCATCCACCCATTCATCATTCTTTCCATTCTCCTATCCCTCCACTATCCATCTATTTTCCCTTCCATCTATCCTTCCATCCATCCATCTATCCATCCATCTATCCACCCATCCCTATATCCTTCCATCCATCCATCCACCCATCTCTTTATCCACTCATTCATCAGCCTTGTCATTGTCCTATCGCTCCACCATTCATGCATCTATCCACCTATTCATCCACCCATCTTTTTATCCATCCATCTATCCTTCCATCCATCATTACATCCATCCATCTTTACATCCATCCATCTATAAATCCTTCTTTCCATCCATTCATCCACCCGTTCATCCACCCATTCATCCACCCATCTCTGTATCCATCCATTCATCAGTCTTGCCATTCTCCTATTACCCATCATCCATCTATCCTTCCATCCATCCATCTATCCATCCTCCTATTCATCGATCTATCTTTTCATCAGTCCATCCAGTCATTCATCGTTAATTAGCCATCGATCATGATAACAAACATCCTAGAAATCTTGTTTGTTTAGATGTTCATAGATGAATTTGAAAATATTAAATGTTTAAATTCTCCTACATTAATTATATGAGCTTAAGAATTTGAAAATATTAAATGTTTAAATTCTCCTACATTAATTATATGAGCTTTTCATCCTCCTATACATTAGTTATGAAATTTGTATCCATTAATTCCTACCAGGGTTGGGATGATGTCAGTCTCCACGGTTCTAGTCAGATCCTGACGCCAAACATTGACACCTTGGCACAAGAGGGCGTAACGTTGACAAACTACTATGTGTCGCCCATCTGCACGCCAACGAGAAGCGCCATCATGACCGGCAAGCATCCCATACACACAGGTTTGCATAGTTAATTTGTATTTTTCTTATTTTTGTGTACTTGATAGAAAGATTAAAAGATGGGAATAATATTCAATGTTGATGTTTGTTATACCAGATTCATATTAAAGCCTGTCTGCACTAGTTTAGTCAGGAGGGATTAGACCTCCCTGCATGGTCACTGACAGGTTGTTTTCTCATCAAATCAGCTCTCAATTAACATAAGAAAAAGGGGATCATGGGGTACCCCCCCCCCCTTTTCAGCACAAGTCCGCTGTGTAAAGTCAATATGGGTAGATCTGTTTTCTTTGTTATACAAGCCAGGCTATAGTTCACAGACGCTCAAAATGCTGAGCAAACGACGATGACTTTCACATTGTTACACCTGGGTGGAGAGTGGCAAAAGTAGATGTCTTTCCAAAGGATGTAAGTACCAGGCTGGGATTCTTAGAATGGCCCTCTGTTGTTCTCGTGTTTACAGGTATGCAGCATGACACCATAGGAGCCGACGAGCCGTGGGGATTGGGTCTGGATGAGAAGACTATGGCCCAGCATCTTAAATCATTAGGTTACAGTACTCATGCAGTTGGAAAGGTAACATTTCATGTACCATTAGCCACATGTAGTTATAGTAATGATAATACTACTAATAATTTAAATATATAATTATAATAGTGATAATAGTGATAATGATAATAATAATGTAATACTCACACAAGACAAAACTAGTCTGACATGATTGTTGACTTGAGCTGCACTGCTATATTCCACTACATCTTCAAAATGGCTGCCAAGGTGGCTAACATGCAGTCCATAGACAATAACAACCAATCACAAGATTGTCAATGAAGTAAGTAACCAATAAGGGAGTTTCCAGATACAATCTGTGCATGGTCATTTGTACCAAAATGGTAAAACCCACAGAGATGAATACTGGATATGCGCTCATGAAAGTTATGTAACATTATTCATTTATGCACCAATGGTACATTCTATGATACGCAGGTGGAAGTATTCTTTTCAAGAGGTTAAACAAAAGGTATTCATGAAGCACATCTAGGACTGTGGCAGTTATTATTCTAAGATGCTCAAAGTGGAACTTCAACATGTGTAAAAGATGTGTGGATATTTGGGGTCATTTGTACCATATGCTATCTGTAAACTCCCTCATAGGAAGCCTATAAGGAAAGATAAAGTGCCATGTGTCTATAGTGAGCTGGATTGAATAGCCAAGAGATAGGAAGAGTGTGTGTGTGCGTGGTGCTATGGCAGGTAAGTTCAATGAGGATGAATGAATAGGGACAGAACAATAGAAGCCAAGAGCTTATTAACAGACACCAGACAATGAATGCAGGTCAGGAGTGTCCTCAGTGAAGCATAACAGAGTGGAAAGCTAAATGTAAAATAAACAAGTAACCATTTGGATCAATAAAATCAAAACCTTACAATAATATCAAAAAATAATAATGGAGATTAATAGTTTTTAATGACATACACTTTTTTTTCTTCTAATTAAAGGATTTACATGATTTACTTACTGGTATACAGATTAAAGATAAACTTGAGTACTGGTAATGCGATTGCATTGTGAAAGAAAAGGTGTGGAATGGATCAGAAAAGTTGATCATGTAGCATATAAGTAATGGTGTGTAATGCAAGGTTCTGGAGTCATCAAAATCATCATAAATTTCGCAGAGTCTTGGTAAAGTAACAATCACTTACACAGAAAGATGTATATGGGACAACACACATTGTGTCGGGGCTAGTATACCCTGATTTCCTTATCTTTCTATGCTCATTACTCAGCCAGTATACATTTTCTTCCAAAATTGTTTGGCACATGACATTTATTTGTAATCTTGAACATTCAGTGTAAGTTTCGTTAGATTCTGTGAGAATTCATTTTCTTTTTTTTTACCAGAACTCAAGTTTATCTTTAATGAAGAAAAAATGCATAGTGAGGATGGTAATAGAAACATACATGTATATATAGGAATGTAAATAAAAGACAAAAATAGAAGTTCCAATTGTACACCCACAAAACTACAATTTACACAAAAGGTATAATTACAGGAGAAGTGTTCTTTGTATTTACTGTGAGAAAATGTAGGTCTTTTAGACTTTACTTTAGCCTTAAAATGTATTATACACATAGAGTGAAGCCTGTGTACATTTTAATGTACTACCTATTTAAATTAGTTGTTTAGGTTAAAACAAAACAATTTGTTACTGATTATAATGAGGATAATAATTGTAATACCGGTAATAGTTAGTTGTTGTATAGGCTAGTACCCATGTCTGTCAGACTTGACATTCCTAATAACTAAAAAAAAAAATGCTGTATTGCCCTTTGCGACCAACCCCAAAATGTTGAAATCTACAGTAGGCTTTTTTTTTAACCGTTTTTTTTTTTTTTGAAAAAAAGATGTAGGTATTTAAAGCATTCAAAACTAAAGAATATCAGCCCAAAGAGAGAGTGAAAAAAAAAAAAGGTTTTTAAAAAAAATCCTGACCAACCGACCCATGTTTTGGTACCCAGTAAAGGGCAATACAGCATCTTTTTTTTTTTAGGCCTGATTGTTTTGTTTTTGTTGTTGTTTCTGTTTTAAGATTTTTTTTTTTAATTTTTTTTTGATTAGTGGCATTTGGGTTATTTTGCCGAGGACTACATACCGACAAGGAGGGGCTTTGATTCTTTCTTTGGCTACTACAATGGAAGAGGGGACTACTATACCCATGAAGATACTGAGGTGAGAACATTGTTTTTAAAGTAACATAACCTTGCCATTTCCTTGTAATCATTTTTGTACATGATTATCATGTTTTTTTGTAAATGAACTTCTCGATCTCGGTTGGCTGACTCTGGGACCTGCTTCTTTTGGGGGCTCTACGCATGTGTGAGACTGTATCGTGTCCATGTTCGTATCCTACTATCTAACATGTTTTGAATTGCGCAGATCTTTGAAACAAGTACGTTGGTCTCTTTGCCGATCCGCCGGTATCGAGAGGCCCATCCTTCACAGGGGCCCCACTCACAAGCATAGCTTTTTGGGGTCCCAATTTCGATCATGTTTGTTTATCATGATTGCTATGCCTGGGTTTTTTCAATTAACTGAACTGAACTAAGAGTAAAAGACTAAAATCACAGAAAATATTTTGTCTATTTCCAACGCAGTACCTTGTGCCATTCTCAAATAAGAGCAATTTAATTGTAACTGATCATATAAGTTTCCTAAATTGGCAATGCTGTGTAAATATAAAATCTTTATTTTCATCTACAAATTTTACAATTTTACAATCTACAATTTTCTTCATTATACTTATAATTTTTTTCATACTAGTTCATTTGATAAACCTTTATATTTTTGCAAGTTATGAAGGATGGGGAATATACGGTCATGAGTTGCCATTTTGAGGAGGGAAAAGTGATTAATTTAGAGGAATAAGAAAACTGCATGTGCACAGCTAATTATTGTAAGTTGCTACCTTATGTAAATTTACGATTGATCAAAGGAGGTATAGTTAACTGGGGGAGGGGATACAATCATTTAGATGATCACAGGGCCATGGGGCTTCATCGTTGTTTCATGTGTGACACATTAAATGGTTCCTGGAGGCTCGATAGCTCAGTCGGTAGAGCAGTGGTTTCGTAATCCGGTGACCCGGGTTCGAAACCAGGTCGATGCGGTAGTGCCCTTTGGTAAGGCATGAATCCTCATTACCAGGCCCCTCGGAGAGGACCTAAAGCCGTCGGTCTTCTGGTTGCTTACTAACAAGCATTTATTGCTTTCTTAGCTGTCAGGTAAGATAACCACCAGTATCACATATTGATAACCCTTTATTTCTTGTGATCTGTAGGGAGGGTTCGGCGGCTACGACCTTCACAAGAACGGAGAGGTTCATTGGCCGGATTTTGGTCAGTATTCCACAGAAATCTTTACCGAAGAAGCCCAGCAGATTATCAAGACGCACAATGCATCACAGGTTAGAATTCAAAATATTTATAACTAGTTGGGTAGTATTCTAAAGAAATCTGTATTGAAGAAGCCCAGCAGATCCTCATGACCCATAATGCACCACAGGTGGGACATGAATATTCATAGTTATTTGAGAGATACTTTGGTCACCGAAATTTGTAAAACTCGTGTGTGATCAGTTAATTCAAGGAGCTCAAGTGCTTTAGAAATCTACAAAAACCTTTGCTATCATACCTTCGCTGGATGTCTCCCGAAAATATCTCAAAACTCTCCTCTTTGACCATGAGTAACAACTTCTTCGATACTTTGTATGTAAAGCGCTGTGAAACAACAGTTAGTTTGTAAGAGCGCTATAGAAATGACTCATTGTATTGTATTGTAGTGTTTAAGTTTAAGTTTCTCCATGCTAAAAATTCCGGCATGAGATCACAGATTTTCTATCTTAATAAGAAAATAATCATAACTCTAATCAACTAAAACATGGTTATTTCTCTCTTTCTTTCTTTCTTTTCCTTTTTGCTGTTCATCCAGCCTCTATTCCTGTACCTAGCGCATCAAGCCGTGCATGCAGGAGTGTATGGGAAGGACCTGGTAGAGGCGCCTCACAAGTACTACCAGATGTTCCCCAATATTAAGACTGAAGGAAGAAGAATGTTTGCAGGTAACACTTTATTTTCACAACTTCAACCCCCCCCCCCTCCTTTCTTCAAGTTCTGATATTTGTTTTCTTTCTACTGTTTTTAAGCATCAATATATTTTTAGAGACAGCAAAAATGAAGAGAAAGAAAGAGAGAAATAACCATGTTTAAAGCTGATTAAAGTTATGATTATTAAGCACTGTTTTTATTATTATTATTATTATTCGTGTCTTCCATTCAGCGATGGTTGCAGGTTTGGATGACTCTGTAGGCAACATCTCCCAGACACTTCAAGATGCAGGTCTCTATAACAACTCCATCATCGTCTTCACAACTGACAACGGGGGACCCACCAACGGCTACGACGGCAACCACGCCAGTAACTGGCCCCTGAGGGGGTGCAAGCACACACTGTGGGAGGGCGGGGTGAGGGGCACTGCCTTCGTGAACAGCCCCCTCATTGAGAAACCCAGACGCTTCAGTGACCGCATGATGCACGTCTGCGACTGGCTGCCTACGCTGTATGGCGTAGCCGGGGGTGACCCCAAGGAGCTGACGAATTTGGATGGATTTGACCAGTGGGATGCTTTGTCAAAGTAAGTAAGAACTTTGTTACCTTGTTCTGTGGTATGCATCATAGCAAATATACAGAGAAACAGGACAGAAATGAACAGATAAAACAGAACCTTATAGGGTTCATTATATTTTCTCAAATCTGCCTCTGTATTTCGCCTTTTGCTCTTTTCTACTTATTTGCATGTACCTTAGTTTGTGTTTTTTATGCCTCCGCCACCGAAGGTGGTGCCGGAGGCATCATGTTTTCGTGTTGTCCGTCCGTACGTCCGTACATCCGTCCGTACGTCCGTCCCGTTTGACCGTTATCACAATATCTCAAGAACCATTTAAGATTTAAACTTAAGACTCGGGAATAGTATTTATCACCATAGGAAGACGATCTGATTAGATTTTGGAGTACGTAGGTCAAAGGTCACAGGTCACAGAGGTCAACTTATGAAATTCCTTGTATTGAGTTAGCGCGATATCTCAAGAACCATTTGAGATTTAAACTTCAAACTTAAGGATAGTATGTATCACCATAGGAAGACGATCTGATTAGATTTTGGAGCACGTATGTCAAAGGTCAAGGGTCACAGAGGTCAACTTATGAAATTCCATACATTGAGATTGTTATCATGATATCTCAAGAACCACTGGAGATTTAAACTTCAAACTTAGTGATAGTGTGTATCACTATAGGAAAACAATCTGATTACATTTTGGAGCACGTAGGTCAAAGGTCAAGGGTCATAGAGGTCAACTTATGAAATTCCATACATTGAGATTGTTATCATGATATCTCAAGAACCACTGGAGATGTAAAAACTTCAAACTTAAGGATAGTATGTATCACCATAGGAAGACGATCTGATTAGATTTTGGAGCACGTAGGTCAAAGGTCAAGGGTCACAGAGGTCAACTTATGAAATTCCATACATTGAGATTGTTATCATAATATCTCAAGAACCACTGGAGATTTAAACTTCAAACTTAATGATAGTGTGTATCACCATAGGAAGACAATCTGATTAGATTTTGGAGCACGTAGGTCAAAGGTCAAGGGTCACAGAGGTCAACTTATGAAATTCCATACATTGAGATCGTTATCGCGATATCTCAAGAACCACTGGAGAATTTTCACTTCAAACTTAATGATAGTATGTATCACCATATCATAATATCTCAAGAACCACTGGAGATTTAAACTTCAAACTTAATGATAGTGTGTATCACCATAGGAAGACAATCTGATTAGATTTTGGAGCACGTAGGTCAAAGGTCAAGGGTCACAGAGGTCAACTTATGAAATTCCATACATTGAGATTGTTATCATGATATCTCAAGAACCACTGGAGATTTAAACTCCAAACTTGTTTAAATTGCTCTAAGGCGGAGGCATCATTTTCGACTGCGCGCAGTCAAAATTCCATCTAGTTTTGAATAGGCTAGTTTCTCCACAATGAATGTACCTACATGCAATTAAATCGATTCTGACCCCCATATCCCTTTGAAAGGGGCGTAGTGGCAAATATTGTAAAAATTTGAATTATCACAACTTTCGGGCCGAAATTGTAAGGGCCGGGGTGGTTCAGCATTTTGAAGGAAAAAATTATATTTTTTGATTAGGCTAGTTACCCCACAATGAATGTACATACATGCCATTAGATGAATCCTGACCCCCATATCCCTTTGAAAGGGGCGTAGGGGCAAATATTGTGATAATTTGAATAAACACCAATTTCAGGCCGAAATGGTAAGGGCCGGGGTGGTTCAGCATTTTGGAGGAAAATATTATATTTTTTTAATAGGTTAGTTTCCCCACAATGAATGTACATAAATGCCATTAGATGGATCCTGACCCCCATATCCCTTTGAAAGGGGCGAAGGGGCAAATATTGTAAAAATTTGAATTATCACAACTTTCGTGCCGAAATTGTAAGGGCCGGGGTGGTTCAGCATTTTGGAGGAAAATATATATATTTTTTTTAATAGGCTAGTTTCCCGACAATAAATGTACATACATGCCATTAGATGGATCCTGACCCCTATATCCCTTTGAAAGGGGCGTAGGGGCAAATATTGTAAAAATTTGAATTATCACAACTTTCGGGCCGAAATTAGAAGGTCCGGGGTGGTTCAGCATTTTGGAGGAAAATATATATTTTTTTTAATAGGTTAGTTTCCCCACAATGAATGTACATACATGCCATTAGATGGATCCTGACCCCCATATCCCTTTGAAAGGGGCGTAGGGGCAAATATTGTGATAATTTGAATAAACACCAATTTCAGGCCGAAATGGTAAGGGCCGGGGTGGTTCAGCATTGTGGAGGAAAATATATATTTTTTTTAATAGGCTAGTTTCCCCACAATGATTGTACCTACATGCAATTAAATCGATTCTGACCCCCATATCCCTTTGAAAGGGGCGTAGTGGCAAATATTGTAAAAATTTGAATTATCACAACTTTCGGGCCGAAATTGTAAGGGCCGGGGTGGTTCAGCATTTTGAAGGAAAAAGTTATATTTTTTGATTAGGCTAGTTACCCCACAATGAATGTACATACATGCCATTAGATGAATCCTGACCCCCATATCCCTTTGAAAGGGGCGTAGGGGCAAATATTGTGATAATTTGAATAAACACCAATTTCAGGCCGAAATGGTAAGGGCCGGGGTGGTTCAGCATTTTGGAGGAAAATATATATTTTTTTTAATAGGTTAGTTTCCCCACAATAAATGTACATACATGCCATTAGATGGATCCTGACCCCCATATCCCTTTGAAAGGGGCGTAGGGGCAAATATTGTAAAAATTTGAATTATCACAACTTTCGGGCCGAAATTAGAAGGTCCGGGGTGGTTCAGCATTTTGAAGGAAAAAATTATATTTTTTGATTAGGCTAGTTTCGCCACAATGAGTGTACATACATGCCATTAGATGAATCCTGACCCCCATATCCCTTTGAAAGGGGCGTAGGGGCAAATATTGTGATAATTTGAATAAACACCAATTTCAGGCCGAAATGGTAAGGGCCGGGGTGGTTCAGCATTTTGGAGGAAAATATATATTTTTTTTAATAGGCTAGTTTCCCCACAATGATTGTACCTACATGCAATTAAATCGATTCTGACCCCCAAATCCCTTTGAAAGGGGCGTAGTGGCAAATATTGTAAAAATTTGAATTATCACAACTTTCGGGCCGAAATTAGAAGGTCCGGGGTGGTTCAGCATTTTGGAGGAAAATATTATATTTTTTTAATAGGTTAGTTTCCCCACAATGAATGTCCATACATGCCATTAGATGGATCTTGACCCCCATATCCCTTTGAAAGGGGCGTAGGGGCAAATATTGTGATAATTTGAATAAACACCAATTTCAGGCCGAAATGGTAAGGGCCGGGGTGGTTCAGCATTTTGGAGGAAAATATTATATTTTTTTAATAGGCTAGTTTCCCCACAATGAATGTACATGAATGCCATTACATGGATCCTGACCCCCATATCCCTTTGAAAGGGGCGTAGTGGCAAATATTGTAAAAATTTGAATTATCACAACTTTCGGGCCGAAATTGCAAGGGCCGGGGTGGTTCAGCATTTTGATGGAAAAAATTATATTTTTTGATTAGGCTAGTTACCCCACAATGAATGTACATAAATGCCATTAGATGGATCCTGACCCCCATATCCCTTTGAAAGGGGCGAAGGGGCAAATATTGTAAAAATTTGAATTATCACAACTTTCGTGCCGAAATTAGAAGGTCCGGGGTGGTTCAGCATTTTGGAGGAAAATATATATTTTTTTTAATAGGTTAGTTTCCCCACAATGAATGTACATACATGCCATTAGATGGATCCTGACCCCCATATCCCTTTGAAAGGGGCGTAGGGGCAAATATTGTGATAATTTGAATAAACACCAATTTCAGGCCGAAATGGTAAGGGCCGGGGTGGTTCAGCATTGTGGAGGAAAATATATATTTTTTTTAATAGGCTAGTTTCCCCACAATGATTGTACCTACATGCAATTAAATCGATTCTGACCCCCATATCCCTTTGAAAGGGGCGTAGTGGCAAATATTGTAAAAATTTGAATTATCACAACTTTCGGGCCGAAATTGTAAGGGCCGGGGTGGTTCAGCATTTTGAAGGAAAAAGTTATATTTTTTGATTAGGCTAGTTACCCCACAATGAATGTACATACATGCCATTAGATGAATCCTGACCCCCATATCCCTTTGAAAGGGGCGTAGGGGCAAATATTGTGATAATTTGAATAAACACCAATTTCAGGCCGAAATGGTAAGGGCCGGGGTGGTTCAGCATTTTGGAGGAAAATATATATTTTTTTTAATAGGTTAGTTTCCCCACAATAAATGTACATACATGCCATTAGATGGATCCTGACCCCCATATCCCTTTGAAAGGGGCGTAGGGGCAAATATTGTAAAAATTTGAATTATCACAACTTTCGGGCCGAAATTAGAAGGTCCGGGGTGGTTCAGCATTTTGAAGGAAAAAATTATATTTTTTTGATTAGGCTAGTTTCGCCACAATGAGTGTACATACATGCCATTAGATGAATCCTGACCCCCATATCCCTTTGAAAGGGGCGTAGGGGCAAATATTGTGATAATTTGAATAAACACCAATTTCAGGCCGAAATGGTAAGGGCCGGGGTGGTTCAGCATTTTGGAGGAAAATATATATTTTTTTTAATAGGCTAGTTTCCCCACAATGATTGTACCTACATGCAATTAAATCGATTCTGACCCCCAAATCCCTTTGAAAGGGGCGTAGTGGCAAATATTGTAAAAATTTGAATTATCACAACTTTCGGGCCGAAATTAGAAGGTCCGGGGTGGTTCAGCATTTTGGAGGAAAATATTATATTTTTTTAATAGGTTAGTTTCCCCACAATGAATGTCCATACATGCCATTAGATGGATCTTGACCCCCATATCCCTTTGAAAGGGGCGTAGGGGCAAATATTGTGATAATTTGAATAAACACCAATTTCAGGCCGAAATGGTAAGGGCCGGGGTGGTTCAGCATT